CCTAGTTGGAGTGCACTTAGTACTGTCACAGATAATGTCAAACTTACAAGAGTTCATCAAGAATATAAGAAGCTTCTCTGGGGGGCGTAGTATTGGGAGATGCTCGTACCACTCCCAATAGCACGCCCTACCAGATGTTAAAAAAAAAGGACAAAAAAAGGGCTTGAGACTTTGCAGCTCAATGTCCCAGTGAGAGCTCGTGGATCTTATGAACTTCTTAAAAAAGAAGAAGTATGGCAGCGCAATTCCAGATGGGACGCTGGGCCCGATTCCCAGCACATGCTGCTTACATTGCAGCATTTTTTGTTATTAAAAAAAAAAAAGAAAAAAAAAAGCTTATATCCTGTGTACTGACAGATGTTCCCACTCAGCACAAACGCTTGGGACTTCGCAGCTGAACCTCTCAAACACTTGGGACTTCGCAGCCGAATCTACTTCTATTCGTTTTCCCAGGAAGCGTGCGACACGAGGCATACCATTTTTTCAATCACTCTGTCTTGAATAGGAGCCTCCAGCCAGACACAGCCACGACCATGTCCACAATCACTCTATAGTCTATAATGCAATGCAAGCCTCCAACCAGATACGGCTACGGCCATGTCCACGCGCTGCATTGCAGGGAAGCTGATACGAATGTGTGATAAGCCTAGGACATGCCTGAAGCCCAGACGGATTGGGCGTTGGAAGATGAGGAGGAAGCGGGGGAATAAGAGGAAGAAGAGGAAGAAGAGGAGGAGGAGGCTGCCTGCAACCTGTATGCTCGGTGAGTTTTCCTCGTAGCGGAGTAACTACGTAGATCTATCAGGTAGCAGCAGGCAGGCCCCACCGGGGTTATGTTCGTGCTTGGAAACGAACAGGCTGTCCGTAATAGTCGCCAGCTTTGTGCCTTTTCACATGAACGTAGCGCCAGTGAGGCGACTATTACGGAATGGCCGAGCCCATCCATAATAGTCGCGTATAACCCTCCTGATCACCTAAAGGGGGATCGTCCCCTCTGAAGGGTACCCCTGAGCTTCCTGACCCCCTAAGAGGGGATATTTACCTCTGAAGGGTAGGCTTACTTCCACCTTTACTGTTAAGTATAGAGATTTGACTTCAGGGATGAGGCCTCAATCCCTGTGCTTTTCACCTTTCATCCCTTTGGCTGAACGTCCTCTGCCCGTCCCGACTTCTCCAATCAACAGACTGTGCCGTTCTTCTTTTGTTCCGTGGATAGACGAGTACATAACATTCACAGACAGACAGATAGATACATCGAAGATAGACAAATAGACAAATAGACAAATAGACAAATAGACAGATAGACAGATAGACAGATAGTCAGATAGACAGATAGTCAGAGAGACGGATAGTCAGATACACAGACACACAGATACACAGATACACAGATACACAGATACACAGATACACAGATACACAGATAGCCAGACAGACAGATGGACAGATAGATAGATAGACAGACAGCCAATAGAGTGACAACAGATAACAATAGATAGACAGATAGACAAATAGACAGATAGGCAGATAGGCAGATAGGCAGATAGGCAGATAGGCAGATAGGCAGATAGATAGATAAATAGATAGTCAGATAGTCAGATAGACAGACAGGCAGATGGACAGATGGACAGACAGATCGATAGATAGATAGACAGACAACAGATAGACATATAGACAAATAGACAAATAGACAGATAGGCAGATAGACAGATAGATGAATAGACGAATAGACGAATAGATAGATAGATAGATAGATAGATAGATAGATAGACAGATAGACAGATAGACAGATAGACAGACAGTCAGATGGACAGACAGATAGATAGATAGATAGACAGACAACAGATAGACAGATAGACAGATAGATGTACAGACAGATAAACAGATAGACGGATAGACAGATAGATATATAGATTGACAGATTGACAGATAGATAGGTAGATAGATTGACAGATTGACAGATTGACAGATTGACAGATAGATGCATAAATAGACTGGTGGATAGATAGAGTAGACAGGTAGATGCATAAAGCCTACAAGAGTGGTGTCTTGCCCTGCCCACTGATCCTCATATTTCAAGGACCAGGCAAATCTACCTAGGCCTGGGAATGACACCCTGGGTTTAGACTCTAGAGTCTTTAGACTGAGCTTGCTTTTATATATGATTCAGGGCTAGACCCTGGGTGTCATTCCCAGGCCTGGGTCTGAGTCCGTCTGACTTATTGGACCAAAAACGCTAGAGGTCCCTGGCAGGTCACTCGGTTATCCCTCAGCCAAACAAAATTACGAATCTGTCCTACCTATGGTACAGCCTTGACACAGAGAGGCTACAGGCGACCTTGCAGCGGTTTGGCGGTCCAGAGGAAGGCCAAAATCGAGCATCAGGAAAAGAAGGCTTTTAGCCTTTTAGCCTTTTAGCCTTTTAGGCATATTGCTGGTTTAAATTCACATAGGGATATGATGATGGCTATTCTGGTTCTGTTGGATCTGTCCGGTTTTATCGGGAAGTTTGGGAAGGACAATCAGCAGTTCTATCATCGACATTCCTAATGTGGAAGCTCGCATAAATAATAATAAATAATAAAATAAATATTATAATAATAATAATAATAATAATGAAATCAAATTATTATAGTACGGTGGGTTTACCGCAGTCAACAGATCTCAATCAAGCCTCCCCTTGCCTCATTTATTACACCCCACTAAGCAGTACCCACTGTGAAACTTCTACCCCCCTCCTTCCCCCTCCCCCCCCCCCCCAAAAGTCAAATTTCTAATTTTCTCTACCCTCTAATCGGATCAGCGCTCAGGAGTTACAAGGAACCGTCGCAGACCGCGTAAACTACCTCAGATTCTCTTTTACCCTACACCGGACTTCCGCTGCACGATAAAGAAAACAAATGCAGTGCCGCGGGATTCGGCGGGAACGAAATGATTTTCCTTTTATCAGCAGGATTCGGCGTCCCCATCCCTATCCTTCCCCTTCCCCTTCCCCTTCCCCTTCCAGCAGGCCCACCTCTCAACAATGCGGCGGGTTAACCGCCGGGTTGGAGCAACATAGCTGGCTGGGAAAGGGGGGCTGGTGGTGGTTTAAATAAGAGCCCACACCCCCCCACCTTACCCCCCTCCTTGGCCTCCCTAGGGTTCACTAAGTGCCGACGGCTGCCATTACTCTGGGTCTGTTAGTCACTTACTCTTGTCAGAGATAAGGGAAAGGGGGGCCAAGGAGGGGGGGGGGTGTAAATCAGATCCCATAAGTCCCTCCATTCATGACCCCCCTCAATAAAGAAGCTAATGTACCCTACTTCTATGGCCCACCTATCCCCCCCCTCCTTGCGCCCCCCCTCGCGTCGCTCAGGGCCGAAAGCTGCCATTACTCCGAGTCCGTTAGACACTTACCGTTGCCAGAGATAAGCTATATAGCGTTCTCTGACGAGTAGGACAAGCTAGCTATACAGAGCTATCCAGCTGCTCACAGACATCTTCAGGCAGCTATTCTATAGGCAATTCCAATAGAAGTCTCTGGATGCTGATAGCCACTCACCAAAAGAATATAGATGATACCTCTGACATGAATACAAGTCAGGTCAGGTACGTAGAAGACCGCTATTTTGCAGACGGCGGGACTGCAGCGTGTCAGTGCAGCATGACTGCCTTGTGTCAGGGCAGCCTGGCTGCCGTGTGCTCGCTCGTGGAGTCTTCACTCCACGTGGCAATGATTGCCGTCTCTATCCGACCTGCTTAGCTGGCAGTTAGATCATCATCGTTCTCCAGCCGAAGGTGCAAAAAAAAAAAACTATATAAAGACGAAACAACACCATATGTGCGCTGTCTGCATCGTTCGTTCTGCAGGGTCCATAGGGCCCATAGTGCCGCTGCCCGTATTGTTTCAGCACCTATCCACCTTCATCAGGGCCCCCAGGAGAATAGCAGCGTCGTTCGTCTCTGTGACATTCAGCGGTGAGCCATGTGCCACGTCATGTGCCCACCATTCCCCACAGAATGCTCTGACAATCGGACACCGCACTCGAACAGATGGGGGACCGTCTCCACTTGCCCCCACCCCGCAGCTGATTCCACCTCTTTCCTCGTCCATCTGTTCAAATATACATCCAGGACCGCTCCAAGTCGCGGCAAATTCCACTGTGTCAGCCACGCCACAAAGAATGGAACACTCGTGAACGTGAGATGGTGGTGGGAGAACAGCCCGGACGTGTTTGGCAAGGCCGATCCGCTACAAGATCGCACAACGCCTTCCCTCGCCCTAACGGCCGGCCTCCGGAGGAGAAGCAGCGCGGGTAGGAACAAGGGAAACGTGCGCTCTGGCCCTTCTGGGAAAGATGGGGGCCGTACCCGCAGCTGCTTAACGGAGACCCCCAGATGGGTGGAATGCAGTTTGGGACGATTCTAATGCACGGAGTGCCAAGACCCCAGGAGGACGAAGGACTGAACTCAACCGATGCGTACCATAGTTAGGGCAAATTGGGGGGGAAGAGGGACAGACTTCCAAGCGCCGCAAGCGGTCTATGCCAGCTAATCAAAAGCAAAATGAGAGAGAGGCTCAGGTATGCGATTTCTTCGGTCGGCGAAGTGTATTTAGTATTTACAAAGGGAAAATGAGAGACTGCAGTAACTTGCAGTTACTGAGGCTCTCTCTCATCAGTAACTGCAAGTTACTGCAGTCCAGTAGAGGGTATGGTATGGTCGCTAGCTAACTCGGAAAGTCAGTTGTAAATAAAAAATAAAAATAAAAATAAAAATGTGGAAGATAATATCGACTTAGACATAACGACAGTACTAATCTGTCCTGAGCTTGTTCCTCCTCAGCCTGTTCTACATCTTCTTCGGCTTCGCTGTTCCTGCGCCTTTGTAAAGCAGCCTCAGCGAGTGACGCAAGACTACAGTGTGGAAAAGTATGGAGCATGCACAAAGCTGGAATCTAAGGGATAATACAGAGCTGTTCGTCGTCGTCATCGGAGCAGCACACTCCCTCGGCCATGCGTAAAGGCATCGAAAAGACTCGTGGCGGACCACAGTCCAGACAGACAAATGCAGAATGCAGCTTACCATTTTACCGTTCTTGATCTTCGCGGCGGTCCTTGGGCAACTAATTCTAGGCCCTCCATGTGTTTTTTTAACTTTTTAAAACTTCTTTTAATTTTTTTTTTCGAGTTGTTTATTATGTTTAACGGAACTCTAACGGAACTTTAACGGAACTTTAACGGAACTTCAACCCTTAATGATGAGTACTCGTTGATTAATCATCGATTCGCTACTATCGTTATCCATCAAGCAATCGCAAACCAAACCATCCTTTAACCAGAGGGGGTTAAATGATGGTGGTTAACCCCCCCCTCTTGACAGAGGGCCGGTGTTAGCAAGGGTTCCCGCAACTTGTCAAGGAATTTTCTTGTTTTTTTTCTTTTTCTTTTTCTTTTTCTTTTTCTTTTTCTTTTTCTTTTTCTTTTTCTTGTGCGTCGTCTTTTTCGTCGGCAACCCCCTCTTCGTTCATTTCACTCTCTATTCCTTCACAGGACGACCTTGCCTTCCTGCGTGAGGCCTGGATAACTCGCCCGTCGGAAAGACATGCCACCACCTTCTCCACCGTTGACATCCGAGGGTCCAGTATTACAGCAATAGGCGGTCGAGAGCGGTTATGCTGCTGTCTGTCGCTCTCCTTCTCTCCGTCAAGGCCCTCCACGTAAAGATGCAACAAGGGACCGCTGCTCTCAATTTGCTTCTGCTGCTGAGGTTTATTCTCTCCCTGCTTTCTGCAGCTCTGCAGCGATTGCAGCTGGTCATTCAGTCCGTTCACAGTGCTCTTTAGTTTCTCTATTTCATCTGTCTTTGACTGCATGGTACGTTCCATCTCTTGTACCTTGGCAAGCAGAGCAACCAACTGAGTGTCGGTGGCATCGGTAGACATGATGGTGCTCCTGTGCTCCGACGAGCGGCGACCACGACTCAGGGTCGGCATGGAGTCGGCACCCTCACAATCACTGAAGAATTCGTGTGACCCTCCGCTTGACCTGCGGGCTGGCAGCGTTTCTGAAAGACGGCTACTATGGTGACGACGATTCTTAGCCAGTTGCGGTTCGCTGCAATGCGGGGGGTAGTGGCGCAGCGACAACAGATGTGAGAGGTTGTCATTGTTTAGGAGAGAATATGCTGCGCACTCGTCTGCCTGATCCACCCTTGGGCAAGCTATTGCAGACTGTGTGCGTCGGTGATGGGGGTTGCGCTGGCGGTTCACACGACCATGTCCTGACAGCATATCTCCTATTGGTTCACCATCAACGCTAGCTTGTACCTCTATTGATGTGCTGATAGAGTGCCTCCGAGGAATGGAGGGATTCCACGGGCGTCGATAAGTCGTGCGATAAAACCCGGGCTCCTTTCGACCTCTCAAGTCTTCCCTCATGTGGGAGCGACTTACCTCGTTGCTTGCTCCGTTGTAGCTGTCATGCCACGTTGTTGACGATGAAGGAAAACCCCTCAGCCTTCCCTCTGATTTGCTTTCTGCATCATGGCCTACAGAAAGGAAGACCATTGCACCGTCAGCTCTTTGCTGGTATTCGTGGTGCAGCAGCACATTGGTCGTCGCCTCTGGATCAGGCACGCCGGTGGTCTGAACCGGTTCTTTCAGCTGTTCATGACCACATCTGGCTCTTCCTGCGGATTTGTTTTCCGCGTCATGGCTTACAGAAACGAAGACCTTTGCATTGTCAGCGACTCGCTGGGGTTCCTTGTGCAGCAGCACATTGGTCGCCCCTGGATCGGGCACACTGGTGGCATGAGCCGGTTCTTTCATCTGTTCATGATCTTGTTGGGCTCCTCCTGCTCGTGGCGATGGTGTTGTTATGGGCGGCAAAGACTCAGGGTCAGATTCAGAGTCAGAGGGCCAAGACAGTGCTCCAACGCCCGGCTTGCTTTTCTCGGATATCGTTTCCAATGGAATTGAAGTCATCCCGGCCATAGAACCGCAAGGTCGACCAAAACTGCCTTTATCTCCTTCCAGAACAATGACCACCATTCTGCTAATCACTCTCCTAATGCGATAGGGTCCACTTGGATCTCTGACAAGCCTGCCAGACTCTATGGCCCTCAAGATTCTCTTCACGTCCATTACGACACACTGCCTCACATTTTCGTCGATGCTTTTGGGTTCAAGTGTTGTGCTGCTTCTTCGCACCATCTCGGGGGGACGGCAGCTCTTGAGGTCAGAATCGCAAAGCATCCTATGGAAGGCGAGAACGAGGGACACCCCTTCACAGATGACTTCATATTCGGTCAGCGTAAGGGCCAGCGCCGAGACTTTTGCAGCTATGTCCACTGCCTGCAGTTGTCTTAGCTCATTCGCCGACGTGCCAAGTAGTGAACAAAACAGATGGCCAAACAAGGGAACAGAGGTGTGCAGATGGTGAGGAACGGATGCCAGGCAGCTGACGGCAAATTCGTACCCTTGTCGAATCTTCACATATCCTCCCAGGCTTGCCTTAGCGCTGAGAAATACCTCACACATTATCTGGTGAAAGAGGGAATAATACTCGCTAACAGAACAACCGTCACTGAGCAGGCACCTCTCTTTAGCGCGCTCGAACCCCTCCTTTTCGAAATCCTTCCTGCGGACTTGCAAAAGCACTTCCTTCTCTTCCCACGTCAGCGACGGATCTCTATCAACGTCAAGAAGCGCAGCAAGATGGGCAGGTGATGTCTGCAGCAGCCGCTCTGTGACCGACTTGTAATCTCTTAGCCGATCAAGGGTCGCACATACATCGGCCGTGCCTAATGTGCCCTTCTGAGGTAAATGAGGAAAGAGCTCAGCATCAAAATTAGAGTGACGAGAACCAACATCGTACGGAGCTGTGCGTCCTGCACCACCACCTTTCTGAGTGGAGACTATGTTGCCCGCCACCGGGAACTTGGCCTCCGGGCAACTCTGCACGCCGCCATTCGTTTCCGAGTCAGGACTAATGATCTCCACTCCTGCGTCTACTTGGTTGTTCTCGTCCCCCTCGTGCTGTCGCCTCTGTTCCAAGCCTTCCAGCAATTCTGCATTCGGAGAGCTCCCACGATTTGTTTGTAGACCAAGTTCAATGGCCAGTCCACCGTGCTCGGATGCTTCCTCGGTGGTACAAGAATCTGAAGAGGGAGAAGATGGCGCATCAATGAAGGTATGGTGATACTCAACTTCCACAAAACTGCTCTCGGCGATTAACCGTGGTTCTCGGTTGACGTCTTTTTTACAGAGGAACTGCATCTCCTGGCAAGCTTGCGGATCAGCGGCTCCGGCTGACAGCGACAACCACATCTTTGCAGCGTCCAGGTTCTTGTCGATGCCCAGCCCTTTCTTCAGACAGATGCCCAGTCGATACTGAGCATTGCGACTTCCACTCTCCGCCGCCTTAAAGAACCACTTGGCAGCCTCGACGTCATTTCTCGGAAGCATTTCCCGTAAAACACCCGTGCCGAGGCAAAATCCCAACCATTCCTGCATCAGAATGTCGCCGTTTGTGGCGTGCACCTGATTCGACCTCACAATTGCATCCCAGCTGCGCAGCAACGCTCGGCCCTTCCAGTCTATGTGCACAAGCTTTCCCGCTGCCTCCAACACCTCTGCTTTCTCCACCGCCATCTGCAAGCAGTGATATGCTTCCTTGTCATCGCGTGCAACGACGTATCCCTGCTGATAGCACAGACTCTGCAGGGCCAGAGGCAGAGGCATCAATTGGTTGATGCAAACAGAAAAAAAATCAGATCAACACAGCATCCAAGAAGACATAGGCTGGGAACTTGGTGATGTTCAGAGTTGGTTGGTTGGGTTGGGTTGGGTTGGGTTGGGTTGGGATGGGATGGGTTGG